GTACATTGGTATTGGGACAGAAGAGGGAAGGAACTCCTTACACCACACGTTGGCACTGGAAGCAGTGCACTTGTAATCATGGTCTTTGTTAGAGGTATGTAATAAAGCAGGAATTTCATGCTGGAGTGGAAGACTCGAGTGCTCTTTTACCAGGCTCGTGGACACAAGGCTCCAGCCCTTCTGTGAGAGGATGCTGCATCCTGAATCACCATCAGCTACTCCTACCAAATCTTGCATGTTCTTACAGAAAGCTTCACGTTGAGCAAATGACTTTTAAAAGATCTCTAAGTTACTGATTGATTTTACCACACTGCAGTTTAGTAAGCTTCACACCAAAGGATCCAAAATTCACCATCAAATTTAGCCCCTTTTAAGGGTTTCCAATTCCCATTTTATTGTAGGCTTCTTATGAAGTGTATTTTAAAGACAGCTGCATTAGATTCCAATTTTGCTTAGCTGTGCCCAATCTAATTAAGTCACTATTCTCCAAGTTCATACTGTAGATGAGCAATACTGTTTTCCAGAGGACTTCTGAGCTCTGTGGAACCAAGTTCATTTGCGCCTAAGCACACCAGAAAATACCTGCACTCATTTAAGAGCCAGGTGGAAATACCCTGGGGACAGCCAGCTGAGCAACTCAAAATGGAAACAAGGTGTTTTCTTCTCCTGCAGCACAAAATGATGAAAATATATCCAAACAAATTGGAAAATGAAAGCAGGACTGAAAGAGGAATGTTTGGAAGCACACCACACAGCTTTATTCTAAACTAAACTTACCTACTGTAGTAGCCTTGCTCATATTTAATACAACCTAGGTTTTGCCTCCCCATACCAGAAAGCTGGAGATGTTCTCCAGCTTTACTCTGCACAGTCCTGCATATCTTGTTGGCTACTCCTCTGAGACATCCAATCAACCTGACCACATTCATTCATTATTGATTGCATTTGGAATCTCATCTGTAACTTCTGTGATGACTGAAAAACCCAAGGAGTCTGGAATGAGCAAGATAAGCTCAGCTGAATGTGGTTGTTAGCAATTCTAGTCTTCAAACACCACAGGAGCATTGCTCTAGTAAGGAACAGAAACAATACCTGAATTCCAGTACTTGCATCTTGAGCCCCAGGTAGGAGCAATTAGCTGCAAGCCCTAGGAAGTACAGTGCTGCTGGTGGTTGTAGTATTTCCTTCATTCAGTCAACTCCGAGGTGCTGAAGACCGTGAACTATGAACACTGCTTCTTGTTCCCGTGTTCTGGACATAACTAGTGGCTAGTTCTATATCATTAGTCTACCTTAACATTTAAAACTCCTATACTGGATTTCAAGCCGAACCTTCCTTTTTCCCTCCTTCCCTCAAAGCCGAGGCTGGGGTATACCACCCTTTCCGTTCCTGAGATCCAAACTGTGGATGCTCCTTCATAGCATTCAGTGACCTCAGGAAGAGTTGCTGGTGGGGTGCAGACCATTTTCTCACTCTCTGTTCTGGCCTAGAAAGTGCCCTTATTGTCCTATTTTGCCTCCTTAGCATCCTTCCCATTTACCTCTACCTGCAATAGGAAGGTCAGGGCCTCTATCGCTTCTGACAGTTGACTGAGCCTTCGTAATTCCATTTGGCAGGACATCGTCTTCCCTTCAGCCTTCCAGAAGTTTTTAATTAATTTATACTTTCTGACCTACACAACAGCCTCTGGCGATAAGTTCTACAATTTAATAACATGTTATGTGGGAATGTATGACTCTTTGTTTTAGACCTGATGCCTAATAATTCTGTGGGACATCATTTACTTCTATTCTGAAAAATAATAGCTATCCCTTCTTCGTTATTTCCTAGCTAGGTAGGAAGTTTCAACATCTCTGTCCCACGTCTAACGATTTTCTCTGTCCTGATTTGAAAACCATTCTGCCTTTCTCATATACTCTCTGTGGGTGGAATTCAGATTAAAACACTTCGATTTAGTGGTGGAGTTAAGGTATCTACCTCACAGATTGACACCTACAGATAGAAGCCTAAATTTAGGTGTCTAGATCTCTGAGCTAAATAACTCCCACCCATCATTTTTAGTTCTGTCTTTTATGAGACAGGATGAACAGAAGTGCACATATTAATCAATATGTGGGTTTGTCAAACATTTATATAGTGACATAATCTTATAATCATGTTTTTCTTCTCCTTTTTTCTCTTTCAAAATTTTCCGTCATTCAGTTTGAATTTTTGACTGCTGCTGGTCATTACATCAGTGCTTTCAAAGTGCTATCCTACAGTCACTCTATTTCTGAATGATAATAACTTAATGTTCAATCTGTAACTGAATAAGTATAATACATGATTGAATATGTATACTCCCAGAGAAACTGCTTTGCATTTATTAGCATTGACTTTCACATGCCATTTCTGACACAGTCACTCACTATCATGAGAACCACCCGCCTCTCTTCACAGGGTTGGATTTGACTCTCAGTTAACTTTGCGTCATCCACAAACCTTGCCAACACATTATTGAAAAGCACAGGTCCTAACTCTTAATAGTTGCGTGACCAAATCATAATGATCCTTTCAGTGGGAACACTGATGTTTTCTCCCAGTTTTTATCCTATTTTTTTCTCTGTCTTATTTACCTACAAGAGGACACCTTTTTTTTTTTAATCTCAGCATAACTACTTTAAGAGTCTTTGCAGGAAGACTTATTGACATTTGTTTGGGAGTCCTTACACACTATATCAACTAGATCAGCCTTACCTACAAGCGTGTTGACATCTTCAAAGAGTTCAAATAGATTTATGAGACGTGGTCTCCTTCTGCAAGAACTGTAATGACTTTTTCCAAATAAATCACATTTATGAAACCTTCTACTGGTTCTCTTCTATATTATTGCAGTTTTTACCCACTTATTCAGTTTGGAAGTGAGATCTCCTGATCTATGGTTTTTCACATTAGTCCTGGAGTCCTTTTTCCTCAAGGCTGAAGACACATTTGCCACTTCCCATTCTTCTTGCAGTGTGGTCAACTTAAACGACACTTTTCATGCTACATTTAGCTTTCTCTTAATCTAGTGTTTGAGGTCTTTCAGAACTCTTGATTGAGTATCATCTTATCTTGGTGCCTTCTTACTGTTCGTTTTATTGATTTGTTCCAAAATGTCCTCTACTGAAACTTCATTTAGGGACAATTCCTCATACCCTCTACTGCTTCACCACTAATGTACCCCTTTCCATCCTTCCTCTATTATTTGTTCCATATTCGGGCTTTCCACCTTTCTGCCAAGTTTCTGAGGCATTTGTTATATCAATAACTTCCTTTAAAATCAGACATTCTTGTTCACCCCTTTTAGGCTTCAGACTTGCAGCATTTGTATTTCTATATTTTTTATTGATCTAGTTGCCCATTGTTCACAGGGTCTGCTTAGCCTGAACTTTAATTGCTGAGACAATTCTTTGCAATTTCCTTACTCAATATTATTGATTTTAGTTCTTTGCATTTTTCTAAATTACAAGAATTTGCTCATTTCTCTTGAAGAGGAGCTGCCATCTTGAACTATGCATCGCAGCTTAGTTGGTGAGTTTCCACAAATCTCACCTATAAAAATATCTCATTGTTTTGGAATGTTAAAACCTTGCAATCTACTTTCACGTTGATTTATATAGCTTATCTCTCTTATAAAAGCTACCTCACCAACAACTGAAAATCTGCTTGTCTGGTACTGGGACAATTTATAACACCATGTTCCACTTTCACAATTCCTTTCCCACTCATTCCTCTGTCATTGCTATCTGCATGATTCACAACAACTATTCTCTCTAACACTAAATGTGGATACAGAGATCCAGAAAAGGCCTCCAAGGCACTGCAGAAAAGGAAACTTCCTCTCACATTTTAATAATACATTTTGATAACACCTCCCAGGATGAGACTTGCATGATCACTCACTCCTGTTTAACTTCTGATTTTCTGTAATTCTTCTATCTTGCTACGATATGCTTCAGCCTCAGCCAGTTGTCTCCTTTTTATATTTGGATATTTATTTGCTATTCCGCACATATGAGTTGCCTCTTTTTATTTCATATTCTTTATCTCTGGATCACATTCTCCAGTTTCTCAAATTCATTGAAAGTTTGACCCTGACCTTCAAATACATCTTGGGGTGTACACAAATGTTGTGACTGAGTCCTTTGTTAAACCATATAAGCCATTAATTAACATGCTGAATAGAACTGGGCCCAGGACACACCCTAGCCGGGTGTCAGTCAAAATAACTTCTCAGTCTGACGGTGCACCATTGCCACCCACATGACATCACATCACACACCTTCTAAATGATGAACCTGAAGCTGTGAACTGTGTCCTGCCTGCCAGGACGATTAAGGCCGTGGTTTCCCTTACTCCTTTCTGAATCCAGATCAGTGTCTGCAGAAAGGATGGCCGCCCACTAGACGGACTATTTTGAGTACACTGGAAGTCCACTTATGGCCTCTGATCACAGCAGTATGTGGATCTATCGGCACATATGTCATAAATCTCATTGCCCCAGGAAGCACTGGCTTTTCTATGCTTTCACAATACAGTTATGTGTTAGAAGGAGGGCTGCAACATATGGTCTCTCCCTTATACAGAAAGAAGGTAAGTGTCTCACCCAGCCAGAAATACTGGGCACACTGATATAGACCATATTTCTTTAGTCTGCTTCCGAGGGAATAATGTGGAACAGTTTCAAAAGCTTTCCTAAAGCAAAATATGTCCCATCTGCTGCCTCCTCTTCATCTACTAGACATTATTTTCTCAAAGAAGGAAATTACAGTGAGATCTCATGATTTATTCTTGGTAAATCTATGGTGTTATTTTTCTTTTTTTTTAAAAAAAACAACTTCTATTTGCCTTAAATTGATCATGGTGTTTTTTTGGGGTTTTTTTCAGACTAATTTCTGTGAAGAGTGGTCTCTCGTTCCCTGATTTCTATTTTTCCAGAAGTTAACTGTTTGCCCTTGTATAGTGCTCAGTGATCTCACCTGCCCTTCCAAGAACTTCCAGGACAGTCACTAATGCTTCAGTAATTGCTTCAGCTACTGTCTTCACCCAGAGCAGTTTGAGGCCAGAGCTTCTGATCTGGAAGAGCAAAGACAGAACAAATATGAGGCACAAAAACAATATAAAAGGACATAAGGGAGTAGGGCCAAGTCCAGATTAGTTGCTCTTATCTCCCCTTTGAGGAGGCTCAGGCTCCTCTCACAATGGGCAGTTTAGAAGAGCACAGCACAGCAAGAAGCTGCCTCCCAGCTGAGGAAAAGCAAGCTGACAGCTCCGAGAAGGCTGTATCTCAAAATACATTCATAGTTAAGAACTTTCGGTCTACTGTGCTGTAGGGAATTTAAATACCAGGAGCAACAGTAGCTGTGGATGTGATGACAGAGATTTGCAAGCTTGTAGGCAGAACATGAAGGGGTCTTTTATGAGACACCTATGTGGATGCTAGAAAGTGCCAGGGAGGAGAATGAGGTCCTAATACATGTCAAAAATTTTAAAGGGAAATGTAAGTGAAGGATCCTGGAAGGCAAAGTCAAACTGCTGGCTAGAAGATTTAGCCCTAGGGTACTGTTGACAGTTTCTCCAAAACCCTTCCAGTTACACACACAACACCAATTAGGCAAAGGAGAAGAAGATGCTATCCAGAGGTGACGCTCTCCATCAAAAGTCAAAAGTGAAATCAGACTTTTCACAAGGAAAACGTATATGATGTGTTTAATTAAGTGGGAGCTGGGGGAAATCTGTCATGAGCTAAAGCAAACATTGCTAAGAGTTGGTAAAATAAAAATGCTCTGTGTATCCAGCTAGTTCAGAGAAAAAGCTCAGCACAGAGATGAAAACAATTCATAAGTGAAATTGTATTATATCAAGACGACATCAGACTAAGAAGTTAAACAAAGGTGCCCCCTCTAAGAAATATAAACGTGTATAAATAAAGCAAAAGTAATTTTTAAAAAGCTAGATTGACCCGGATAACAAAATCAGGTCTTGACACAGCAAAAAGAGTAAAACGCAATGACAAAGCTGGTGGTGTACCATAGTACACAGTCACAAGCAATAGAAAAGAGAATATAGGTCATAAGAGTGAAATAATTTTTATATTTTTTTAAAACACGTAAAGGAATTTAGTGAGACTAAAATCTGTACTGGAAAAGAGTATTCTGGCTGTACTGGCTGAGCTGTAAGGATGTTAGCATATGAGTGGAGATATCTCATCAGTCACCAGCGAAATATGAGTAAGTATTTAATGCTGAGAGGTGAAATACTAAACATGGGGACCTCTATTATTCATAAATAAATCAAGATAATGGCACAAAGGGATAAAAGGCTGGAGAACCAATTTACAGAAACACAGTATGACTGCTTTTCAGAACTGTTAGATCCTGAACATTCAGGAAGGCAGGCTGCTCTCTGCTTAAATATTATGCAAGATACGAAAGGAGTATTTTCAAGAAGAGGTAGTCAATGGACCAAGAGAATATGGGTGGCTCTTACAGAACAGAAAATTGTGTCTTGCAGTGCAATGGTTATGACTTAGGAGATCTTAATGGACAAGGAGCTAACCACCAACACTCAGGGTAGAAGCAAAGATGAAATGGGAGAAGTCATCAGAAATGAGGAATAAGTTCAACCTCTGGGCACAGCACCGCTGAAACTCCTAGTATATCTAATTCTGATGTTCACATTTAAAGCTGTTGAAAGATTAGATTGGGGGCAAGAAAGAGCCATAAGAAGTATATGAGAAGAACGTGTAACTGAGAAACTTAAACAGCTCAATTGTGGGGTGATTCAATAACTACCTTCACAAGGGGAAAATATCAACCAGCACTTTTTAATCTAGTAGAGACATAGGAGAGACTAAGGGTAGAAAAATGGAAGTGATTCAAACCAGAAACGAAGCACACATTTTTTAACGGTAGTGATGATTAAATTTGGGAGCAAACTACCACCTGAAGTGATGGATTTTGCAACTCTTGACATCTGGAACATATGTTCCTGTGAAAAGTTCAAGTTTTGATAAATAAAAATATCTTTTTCCTTATTAAAAAAAAAAAATGTCAGAAAATTCCTAGCAGCTATTTGGGTTACCTCTCTATATTAAAAGAATAGTAGATGAGCCAGAGAAATTGCTCTGCACATTGAAGGTTGGGAAAAATGATAATTAAAAGCAGGATAATGGAATTCCTAGGTAAGAAACATGATATTGTAGGAGCTAATTATCACAATGTCTGTAATGAACATTTTGCATCACTAATATTTTAGAATTATTCGAACATATCTTTATAATAATGATCAAAAGGGAACTGCTTGACATAATCCACTTGAACATTCAAAAACCTTTTGACAGCCTTTCTCAGGCAAGGCCTATTTCAGAAGAATCCTATATGGCCAGACATTTTGGGTGCTACATAAAGTCAAACCACAGACCGGCATACAGAGATTAGAATAAGAGCCAGAACACTGCCTAATATTACAAACAGGTATTTCACTACAAGATTTAGCTTTTCTGTAGAGGTGTTAAGTGACAGTATTCCAAGTACAATTTTTATAATTGCAATCAAGGCACCAAGAACTCTTGTGCAAGTACTTTTAATACACTACAGGAATGAAATATGGCACATAAGGCACAGACAACTTGTAGAGCATCATTAAACATACCACAATCATTAACAAACGTGCCAAGGACAGCTGGTACATCTGTATGTAATTCAAGCGGAGGAGTTGGGTTCCACTGCTTTTTCTTTTTTTTTTTGAGTTACATACTTCAGAAAATTCCAGCTTACCCTGAGTCAATAGAATGTGAAGTACAACTGAAAAAAATACCCTCTTGGGAATTTTCATTGGACTGAGAATTGTGGCACTTCTCAGTAAATGTCAGGCTTATCAGTGTTGTGAGTAAGCATCAGTTAGCTCTCAAACAAGCTGACTCTGTTCATTTTTCTCAGTACTGTATGTAATATTCTCCTGGCAGGGAACAGCTCTTTTAGTAGACTGCAGCACAAATTTGTAAAAGAAGCTTGCCTCAGCTCTGATCCAAAAACTATAAGAGATCTAGTATATACTATATCACTGCAGAAAGATCTGCTTTTTGACTTAAACCCCAGACTGTTTGAAGTTAAAGGAACACAAAAAATATCAGTTTTTCCTTTTAGAGAAAAACATAGATTAATTGTAAGAAAACACTCATCTTTATATTTGGTTACCTACTTCAAATTACATCAGTAGCTTCAAGTATGTCTTTGACCTGTGAGTGGTTAACGACATCAATATTTGAACACATTTTCATCCTTTTATAAGGGTTCTTTGTTCATTTCCACCATGTAAGCTTTTCTCTTTATATTGCTAGATGAGACCTAGCAGCATCTTGGTAAGATCTTCATTAGCATTCAAATAAAAATTCATCGCCTGCTTGTATAGTGGGGGAGATGAGTTCAGTGCTCACTGTTACCATCAGAAGTGTTTACATTCACAGCTACGTTTCATTTTCTTTTGACAGAACATAACAAAGCACAAGAAAGCCTGCACTGGGTCAGATCGAAGGTTCCCCTACTGCAGCGCCTGCTTTTACATACAAATGTCTGGGGAATGAGCTTAAGAACATAGCCAGAATACAGTGATGCTTTCTTGGAACATTATTCTGTTTCCCAGCATGCCTTTGGACTTTCTGAACCACTGTCTTACAGGTTATGCCATAACTTCATTTCTCTCCATTAACTTTTTCTAATAACCACAGAACACAAGTAAACTTTGAGCATCTGTAATATCCCACAGCAAAGGATTTTGCAGCTTAATTACACGTTTTGTGAAGAACCATGAGCCAAATTGATTTCAAATTCTTGCTTTGGAAGAGATACTAAGAGGGCTTCTGAAGTTTGGAGAGGAGGCAACAAGTGGGATGTGAGTAAGGCTTATAAAATTGTGGCTGTAGATACAAGAGGAGGACAGTCCAGGCAGCTGACTGTCAGTGTGACCCACTAGAGCTTTTCTTAAGTTGCTGTAGCTAGATTACCTGCATCTTCAGTAGTCTTTCACTGGATTCCACCGTGAATGTGCGAAATGTGGTTTCTCACTGGAAAAATGTTCCCTAACAGACAAGATTTTATCCATTTATGCATTTTATTCTTATAATTTCCACTCACTCGCTCAGTACAGACTCCAATGTGACGGTCTGCAGTTCTCCATTTCACTCCTGGGGACCTTCTCAGCAATTGTTGTCACATTAACCATCTTCCAAGCCTCCTGCAGGGAGACTGATTTAAGTGACGGGTTACAAACTATAGTAGCTCTATAATTGCATATTTGTTTTCCTTCAGAGCTCTTGAGTGAATACCATATGGTCTTGGCACTTTTTGACTCTTCATCTTATCAATTAGTCCTAAAATGCATTTTAATGTCACTTAATTTGAGACAGTTCCTTACACTTGTCCCCATAAGTTTGGCTCTCAAGGGAGAATAACCAACCTTAACCAAAGCAAACATCAACAAAGCTTTGTTTGCCTTTCCTTTGCTTTGCTTTGCTTTTCCTCTCTTACAGTAATTCACAAATCTCTGGAAAAATACCTGATTGTGGTCATTTTAAATATTTCTACTAGCTGTTTTTATTATTCTTTTACCAGGTCTTTCCTTCAGGGTTTCCCTTGCTTGCCCTACAGGTTTAGCTTGATAGTTTACGGTTTTTGTTGGTGGATTGTTTCAGTGGTTTGTTTGGGTTTTTTTTTGTAGGTTTTGCTTGTTTGTTTGTTTTGGGTTGCTGTTGTTTTGTATTTCTTTTTGAATAGTTTCTTTATTTGCTCAGCACTCCCAGACTTTGAATACTGACTTCCACTCTGCAGTTGGAATATTGCCTTTTTTGTCCCCTGCAGAATCATTCCACTTCGTGATATATTGCTCTGAGCTTCGGATAGGGTGTTTTCATCTAGTTTCTCATCTTCTGTATGCTTATATCCACTGCTTTTAATTTCCTTTTAAGAAGCTCCTGCATTTTTGAATAGGTCCCATTCATAAGTTAGTTATTACTGTGAAGTAGTTATGGGGGGAATCAAATACCCTTAAGACAATCTGTCATTAACACCTCAGGAAAA